CGGTATTGTACTCTTACCGCTGTTGTCGTCCATAGTTGTCGAAATCGTCCGACCGTAGGCGAATGCTGTGTCGTGAATGGGAGCCTGAATGCCTGTACGTTGTACCCGTATAAGATCGTTGGAACATGCATTTTATTTATTTTGCTGTGTTTATTGTGTTCATCTACCCTCAGTTCGTTAGACGTGCTTAAAGTTTTCTAGGGTGATATTAAGCGTGTTACAAGAGAAGTTGCCATTCAGATATCAGCAAACCAGTCGGGCTTGGAGAACATTGGACACTGAATCGACCAATTGTGGATGTCCCAGTAGGACACTTGAATCTCTTTAAAACAAATCCGCCGGTGGGTTTCAATTCCTTATCCCTTGTTGTGAAGGAAACCCTTGTTGTTTGAATTTTCCCTTACAATACTCCCCTTACTCTGTGGTCTATAACCCCACTGCCTTCATGGCGTGTAAGTTGGTAATAGTTGCCTAGTTAAAAGCTTATGGTGCCGTGACGAAACCGAGGGCTCCTTGTGGATCAACTGCCACATGGTGATGCTGCTCGGCACGCGCTGGTATCGAGGTTGTTGACCAAGTACCTTTACCAAGTTACACCACCGTACCATTTTGTTTAAAAAAAATTCTCCTTGGAAATGTTCAGGTGTTCAAACGAGAAATCCACAACAGGTTGATGACATAGTGTTCTCTCAAGGTAAGCAAGAGGAGGTGGTTTTGGAGGACATGGTCTCAGCCTACATGAAAGATGGATATGGTCGAGTAAAGGAAAGAAAAATAAGAGTAGTAAGGAAGGTTAGCCTTGGGTAGTCGAGAGTGATTGTAACAACCTGAATGGACGTCATGTCCCTAGCCCTATGTTTAGTTGACCATGCTATGCATGCTGGGTTGTTTCGCTGCGTGCCCTGCGAACGTTGTCTGTATCGGGTCCTTAGCTCCCCGTTTTCGCGTGGCCACGGCATCGTTCCGCACTCGCCGTCCTTGTGCACTGTGCACTTTTCCTTTTTTCTAGCATCCGGTCGGCTCTCGACTCTCATGCCTCGTCCCCATACCGGACCCCCCTTCCCCTCCCTCCTTTCTTCTTTTGTGAACATGGTCGCCTGCACGCTTGCCTCGTCGAGTGGACCTCCCCCCTCTCCTCTCCTTTATTTCCCCCTCTGCCGCTTGTGCAGGGAGTGCACCATGGCCGTGTTTATCTCCACAACATGACCTGTCTTTGTACCTCATCCATGCTGTCTCCACTTTCGGTGTGTTGCTCCCCACCTCCGTTCGCCTATATAAGATACCCTTGGTCCTTGCTTTTCTTCTTCATCCCCATTCCCTCACATTCGGAGCATAGCTATGAGATCCAGTCGCCATTGTGAAGCTAGGTTCATCAGTCTGAGGTGATGGTGTAATCTAAGGAGAAGAAAGGATCCGGTTCATCGACGAAGTTCAAGTTCCCTTGGGGTAGTCAACCTTAGGGTTCACGATGTTTTACTTCTCAGTCAACTGTTTCTAGATCTGTTGGTGCTACGCCATGTTTTGGATAATCATCTTCTTGTTGTTTATCCATTGTCCTCATCTATCTCGACTTCTGGAGTAGGTCTCGGTTGTACCAGGTTGCTCTTAACTATGTATCCCTAGATCCTCTTGTGGTTTAGTATTCGAAGTCGTGTAATCTTTCGTGTAATCTCTGATCTACGAAATGTAATCGCATTTCTCCTTTTCGGGTTCGAGCTTCGAATCTCGGGACGGGATTCTTTTTAAGGGGGGTTGGTTATAACACCCCGGTGTTACGATCTTATTTAGCACCGCGATTTAGGCCTAAGTAAAACTTTCGAAACGTGTTTCTCGAATTTTTGATTTAAAACATACGTGAAGCGATAAGCGACTTGTGTGACTTAGTTTCGCGGACTCGAATTAAGTGCTCAAGTTAAATCACGCAGTGCGTAGAAAAATTTAGTTATGTTGAACGACAATATTTAGTTGTCTTACCAGATTAGAAGAGCATCCGACGCGAAGGCAGGTTTGCGTCGATGGAGGAGTCAAGAGCGACGGCGGGGCTGTCTTAGTGCTAGGCACAACAGTGGCACTGCACAGTGTTGGGTAAGAGCTTGAGCTCTTGCGGCGGTAGGTGGGAATGAGGGAGAGGTCTTTAGGGTTGGGTTTCTTATATAGATATCTAATCTAAATCTATGACGTCCGATTCTAATCGGAGGGACTAAAACGGACTAAAGTCTAACCGGCATAAACCTTCTAAATTTGTCATCAGATAACCAGACATGCAAGCGATGGAACCTTTAGATGGAGTCCATTTTTGTATTTTTGCTTGTGTTGCCTTCTAGTTCTCGCAAGTCATCACTAGAGTATGGTTGCAGTTTCTCAAAACAAAGAAGTCTTTACTACTATATAAAAGTATCGGTGTTTTTACCGCCAACAATAACAATGGGATGTATCAAGCACTACCTCATATCGAGACTTCATCATGGGATCAAATCCCCCTTCAATGTCGGATTTTGAACCAAAGACAACGAAACCAAAGAAGTGATGGAAGGTTCACATCGGTGCCGGTTCTTATAAACCGTAGTGATCACAATCTTCACCGGTTTGTGGAGCCTTCATGAACAACAATTGTATCTCAAAACTATAATTTATTCTACATTAGTTGAAATTGGTCCCCCATTTTGAAAAACAATTATTCTACACTAATTACAGGAAAATTGAAATTGGTAGCCCCATAAAAATTGAAATTGGTAGCTGTCATGCGCCTAGATTAGGGACCCAACATCTGGTCAAGCGGGCCGGGAGGAGCCCATGACCCAACCCCGACCAACCCCGAACCCCTGGCGCCATGAGGTAGCCTGGTGCATAGCCGGGCGGGCCACCTCCACTCCTCAAATTCCCTCGCATCCAAGGTGATCCGAATAAAAAGGAGAAAAGAAGAAAATATAGGAAAATAAATAGGACATCGCTTGGATAAAATAAATTAGGAATTAGCCAGGGAATAAATAACTTACTTGTAAATGAAGCGGTCTAAATCTATAAGGACTCTTCTCTTAATGTTTTTAGAAAGAAAGTCTAGATTGCTTAGGGACCATGTTCGTGAGTTTCACTAAGGCTTACGTCTACTCATCTGAGGCCAATAAGTGGAGCCGGACAGCCTCTATTGAGCTACCTTGGTATGTTGAGCAACGTTGCAATTCCAGTGCCCTTGTCGCACTACGCCAAATTCTTACTATAGGAACGGGACATTTTTTTGTAGGCGGCTACTGGGGTTGGGGCGCCTCTCAAGGCGCCCTCGGGCCCCAAAGACCCCCAATTACTCTGAGATATCTCTGTAGGGGCGGCTGGTAACCTGAGCCGCCCCTACAGTTGGGGTTGATCTGTAGGGGCGGCTCAATCACCAGCCGCCCCTGTAGTGCACATTTGTCTTTTTTTAAATTTCAAAATTTGAAATGTTCAAATTTAGTCAAATGATAAGATAACCAAAATAAAAGTTGTAGATATTGATGAGTTGAACAACTTTTGTATTCATCACTTTTACATCTGAAATCATTTAGGGTTTCAAAATTTGGTTTGAACTTGTCAAATTTTAAATTTCAAATTTTAAAATGTGTAAAATATTGTCACATCCAAGTTTGATCAAACTTAAATGCTGAAGCATGATTTTAGAAATTTTTAGGAAAAAACACCATCACATTTGGAGTTAGTATGAGGGAGAACAACTAGTTACAAAGTTTACCCACAGATTAAAAAGAGAAATCACACTATTCTAGATGATCCTTACATGATCATAGTGAACAGTGTGATTTTTTTTAATCTGTGGGTCAACTTTGTAACTAGTTTTTCTTTCTCATACTAACTCCAAATCTGATGATTTTTTTTCCTAAAATTTTCTAAAATCATTCTCTATCAATTTATTTTGTTGGTTTTGTCAATATATACATATGAAAAGTTTGAGCAATTTAAATTTTGAATTTCAAAAAAATGCAACTTCAGACAAGATTTTGGTATCCCAAATGATTTCAGCTGAAAAAGTGATAAATACTAAAGTTGAATAACTCATCAAGATCTACAACTTTTATATTGGTCAATTCTTCATATGACAAAGTGGTAATGGCATTGTTCACAGATGTGACAAATCTCTCATAAGGTTTTATAAACTATATAAGACATGTGTAAGATTAGTGAACAATGTGTGCTAATAATTTGTCAAATGAAGAAATGACCAAAATAAAAGTTGTAGATATTCATGAGTTGAACAACTTTGGTATTCATCACTTTTTATGTTGAAATCAATTTGGGTCTCAAATTTTGGTTCAAACTTGTCGTTTTTTAAAATTTTAAATTTGAAAGGTTCAAATTTTATCAAATAATAAGATGACTAAAATAAAAGTTGTAGATATTAATGAGTTGAACAACTTTGGTATTCATCACTTTTTATGTTGAAATCATTTTGGGTCTCAAATCTTGGTTCGAACTTGTCGTTTTTTAAAATTTCAAATTTGAAAGGTTCAAATTTTGTCAAATGATAAGATGACCAAAATAAAAGTTGTAGATCTTTATGAGTTGAACAACTTTTGTATTCATCACTTTTACATCTGAAATCATTTAGGGTTTCAAATTCTTGTTCGAACTTGTCATTTTTTAAAATATCAAATATTTTAAAATTTTGGTTCGCCCTCTCCATGGTACAAATATTTTTCTCTCTTCCTACAACCCACGCATACACCTTTCAGCCAACCCGCACCTTCTAGGCACGAACACACACATCTTATCCGCAAGACGGACGTATTTTCCCTCAGCTGCTCGTCCTCCGTCGAGCCGATTCCTCAAGGCCACCTCGACCGTCTCGGTCTCATGCCGCCTGCCTTGCGCCCCCCCCTAGCCTCCTAGACTTGCGGGCGCCGCCATGTGGGTCGTGCAGCACTCTCGGATGCATATTTTCCCTGAATCGGCGAAGGGAGAACCCTAAGCGCGCGACGGCATGCAAGGCGCGGCGGGGTGGGCGCGCAGCCACCATGACCCCCATCTCCGCCGTGGAATCCGTCCCCGCCAATCAACTCCTACGTCTCGTGGCCAAGGTTCCCCACTCTCCCTTCCTCCCGCCTAGGATTTGTCCTTGCACGGGCCTAAACCCTCACTGTTGGTTCAGGGGCCTCACGGCGGAGCGCTGAGGGAGGAGCCGCTTCCGCTTCAGCATTCGACTCACCGGGTTCGGTGGGTTGGTGCAGCAGCTCGGCTCCAAAGGCCGTGGATTTCAGTAAAACCCCAACCTTGCGCGCCCGTGGCGCTGCCTAGTGGCGATGTTTTTTTTCTCGTGTTTGAACCGTGATTGGTGAGGAGTGTTGACGCTTGGTCTTGTCTTCATGCAAAGTGCGAGGATGTCAAGGGCTCATCCAAGAGCTTCCCCAAGCACGAGGTGAAGCATGTCTCTGACCATAAGGTGCGTATGGTTCCAATTTTCCCTTGCTAATTTACTACTTGAAACAGCTTTTGTGTCAGTCTCCTGCTTATCTGGATATTTACTACTATTCTTGCACATTTTGCACTTGTCACAGTACCACATGATTATGTATATAACTTGAGATTGACCCATCCATATATTTTACTGATGTTCATTGGCTTATTATCAAGTTACCATTGTACTTTTTCCGTAGAGCGCTGCCCGGTGCGCGAAATTTAGTCCTGATGGAAAGTATTTTTCAACTGGGAGTGCTGATACATCCATTAAGTTTTTTGAGGTAAAATTGTCGAGTGCTAAGTGGGCTTGTGCTGTTTTGTACTTAGTTGCAACTTGCAACTCACTATTGCTCTCTCTCAGGTTGCTAAAATTAAGCAGACTATGGTAGGGGACTCCAAAGATGGTCCTGCCAGGCCTGTGATTCGCACATTTTATGATCACACACAGGTGGGCATGTATTGTTCATATATGCCAGTTTATTTACTGTTTAAGGTCATGAGACTCTTTTCAACACTTCCACAAGATTGCTCCTGAGTTAGGTCTCCTGTAGTATTTTTTCCTTGAATATGCGGAGAGCTGCATATCATTGCATTATCTAAAGACTGAAATGCATGGGTAGATCAAATCCACCTGCCACCACACTTATATACACATGCTCAACTCACATTTAGCACACTGGATGCACACCTAGCACATGCAGTTTATAGTTAGATATTTGCTTACTGAGCTGTTTGGAGCATTGACATGGTATTCAATTTTTTAGTAAACAACTCCATTTTTCACTAGTTGCTTATTTTATTTTCCATCGCTCGAATTTCCACTGTGCTCATAAATATGATTGATTTCTTGCAGGCCATCAATGGTCTGGATTTTCATCATGAGAGTCCAATACTGATATCAGCTGCAAAAGACAATACAATAAAGTATGCTTATCCTTAATGTCTACACTCCTTTCTGTTAAATTGTCTATTTGAAATGCTCATACTGGGATTAAGCATGATTCTTATTTTTAGGATTTTTTGTGGTATTAATTGCTATCTGTGTTATTGTTTTGTACATGAAAAATTGCTCAACAGATTCTTTGATTTCTCAAAACCAATGCGAGGAAAGCGTTGAGTTATTCAGGTTGTAAATTCTAGCAACCTAATCTATGTATATATCATGTAAAATGGCGTGTTCATTGCATTTAACCAGGCTCAATTGTTAATGCTTGGCAGGATACTCATAATGTTAGATCTGTATGTTTTCATCCTTGTGGGGATTACCTTTTAGCAGGTACTATGATCTTTTCACTTAATTTAAATTTAATTTCTACTTCTTGTTGTTATTAACTGATTCGTGATTTCTGACATCATTTGTTTTGCTCTGATTTTTATGCATTATAAGTTTTTAACATGCTTTCAGTTGTTATCTGTAAAGTAATTTAATTATTTCACCAAAACAATTTGATATCCAGGCCCATGAATTTGGATTTCGTTCTGGATCAACAGTTCCTATCTCTTGGGCATTTGAAAAATACTGCAAAGCATATCTTATGGAATTTTCTTCTTTCTTATAGTCAAATATTTTCATCCACATACGTATTTAAAAAAAAATAACTCATTTTTCATATATTGATGAATATCGTGGAAGCAAGTGACACTGATAAAGTTATTTGCAGGGACGGATCACCCAGTTGCTCATTTATATGATATAAATACTTTTACATGCTACTTATCAGCAAATGCACAGGATTCTAGTTCTCCCATTAACCAGGTAGCTTTTCTCTTTCCTTCTGATTCACAAGCATTATATTGCATTGGTTATATTCTCATCAAAGGTTAATTTTACTCCGCTAGCCGTGCTTACTGATGTCGCTGCCAGGTACGCTACTCTTGTACTGGGAGCTTGTATGTTACTGCTTCTAAAGATGGTTCTTTGCACATTTGGGATGGAGTATCTGTTGAATGTGTTCGACCTATTACTGGAGCACATGGATCATGAAGCTACTAGCATAATTTTCACCAAAGATGAGAGGTGTTTAGCTACCAGTCTGTCTAAGGTGCTCTTCCCTCAAGATAAGATCCATTTATTGTTTGGTTTGAAGAACAGAGAGGCAGGCATATGCTGTATGTTTGATTCAAAACAGTAACTACCTCAAACCCTGTTTGTAATGTGAGAATCTTGTAGTAATTCTGAATGATTTGTAGCATGTCCTGGTGAATTTCCTGTGTTTCAGACAGGTCTTAACTTTATCACATGAATAGCAACTAACAGCTCTTTCTCCTTTGCCCTAATGTTTCACCACTAAACAACTAACCTGCCTATAAGCACTTTTGAGACTTCTTCTGAAAGGCCTAGTGTTTATTCTAGTTGTATTTACTTGCTGTGATTTTGTGAAACCAGTGTCAAAATGTTTAGTGTGAATTGGTGTACTTCCTGGAAATGCTTAAATATATGTCAGAGTTGAGAAAAGATTGTTGTTACTTGATTTGAATTATATATATATATATATATATGGTCAGATTTGAATTTGAATTATTTATTTTTTTGCTGGAAAATCCACTATAGGGGCGGCTGGTGATACAGCCGCCCTTACAGAAGTCCACTATAGGGGCGGCTGATATTACCAGCCTCCCCTACAGAGGTCACTGTAGGGGCGGCTGAAAACACCACCGCCCTTGACAGGGCACTGCAGGGCGGTCGAAAACCGCCCCTCACAGAGACACCTCTCTGAGGGAACACCACTGGAAGGGCGGGCCATGCAGCCGCCCTCTGAGAGGCTCTAGAGCCGCCCTACTGATTAAATTCAGTAGTAGTGTCGAGAATGCACTCTACTTCCTACAAAGACAACAATGGAATCCTAGAGTACGATTTGGCCAAGAATGAGTGTCAATCATAAGGCTACCCCGATATGCATCGTGTCTACCAAAGATTGTGCTCATGTCGGTGGAGGATGATGGGTTGGGATTTGCCATGATGTATGACGATTTCTCTCTCTGCATATGGTCGAGGGTCAGCAGCACCGTCTTCCTCCTCGTGAGTGTGTCCATGTCGGAAACTGTCGTCTCTGGGAATCTGCGCCGCCCACGCCCCTCCTTGCCTTGTGCCCAAGACATTCCTGGCTATAAAAACCGGTTGCCTGCTTCGGGCCGCGCCCGTCCCAATCTTCGAAACAGCCTCGTCTTGTCTTGAGCTCGCAGCGCTGCCGTTAACTCTAGCACCGCCGCCACCTCCGCCGTCTCACCGAGCACCGCGCTGCTCTCGTTCGATTCACTCCGAGGTAAGCTACCTAGCCGAGCTCGCTGACATCTCCTCTCTCTCTCGGTGCCCTTGGTTTGCTGTATCATGGTCCGTAGACCGAATTCGACGAGCACCGCTTGTCTCCGGCCATGGCACCACCGTGGAGCTCGCCACCGACCTCACCGGCGTCCCCCATCCCATCCAGATCTGTTTTGAGCCGTCCAATCTGAGATCAAGGGCCCATATTAGAAGATACCCCTTCGCTGCGAAATTTGCAAAAAGGCCCTTATAACTATATAGATCTCAACCCGCCGTCCCTAGTTTCTTTCAAAAGGACCCCTACCTTTTCTATTAATAGTGCCTGTAGTCCCGCCGTCGTTTTAAAATCAGAATTTGATTTATTTTATTTCAAAATAAAGTTTCACTTATTTACAAAATTGTCAATACCTTCTATAGGCCATATCTTTTCCGTTTTAACTCCGATTTGATCCGATCAACTTGCGTTAGGCTCGTAATTCCATAATCTACATGTTCATACTACGGTTAAGTATGTTCTCAATTTTTAAAATCAAAGGTTAGATTTAATCTATTATTTTACTAAAGGAAATCTTGTTTAATTCATAACTTCTTCGTTTTAGCTTCGATTTTTGTGATCTTCGCGTCTGTGTGTTTGTAGTAAGACGTATATTTGTTTTACAAGCTTTTCATCTTGATTTTATGTTGATTGGTGTACTATTCTAATATATAGTTTTTGTTTATTATGCATGTTTGCTTCTGGATGCTTGTATGTTGCTGTTATTATCGAGTATAGACGGTGAGCAATTCGCGGGTGAACAAGAGTACAACTTTGACGAGCAGGATCAGCAGGAGCATTTTGTTCAAGGCAAGTATAACATAGAATCATCCTTGTTTCCTATTCACTCTAATATATTTAATCCATGTTGCATGTGTCACCTTGATAGGGATTCCCTAGAATTGAACTTATACCTTGTCACCTATGGGATATGCATTGGGTAGCTTTGCTAGTGCTCAATTAAACCATGATCTTGTAACTTGACTAATGGTATATGCAATAAACATTAAAACTAGACTTTTTCACGACTTGGAAACATGGGGATGTTGTTTAGCTACTTTCTAAATGCTTTAGATTCCTCTCCCTATGGACTTATCTGTAAGTGATCATTCGAGACTTACAGTACAGCTGTGAGGGCTATATAGCTCTAGCTTTAACTCAGTATGAGGACCTTTTCTAGCTTGTTAGAGGTTACCATTATGGCACAAGAGGGGTGTGTTTCGGGTTGGATATAGTGCGGCCTCTGTCCGCCAGTGTATAGGCTGCGTGTCTTTGTGCCTGTCGAAAGGGGAGCCCTACATTTGCAGGGCACAGAAACCTAGCGGCCCTAACTTGTTAGACAAACCTTTGAAAGGCTTCATAGTGACCCTTTCCTGCTCACCTTGGAAGTGTTTTGGGAGTTATAAACCCGGGCATATGGGTATAACGACTCACAGTGAAAGTGTACAACCTCTGTAGAGTGTAAAACTGGTATATCAGCCGTGCTCATGGTCATGAGCGGCCTTATAATCCTTATGAAATAGACGATCACTAAGAATTATTTGTTTATGCTATTCATGTTTACTTTGATCATGTGTTTTACTTTGGGATTGAAACAACTTGTTGCTACTCTTATGCTAAAACTGTGACAATTAAAAGTTGAATGCTGTTAAACCTGTGTCAGGCCTTTTGAGCCTCATGAACCCCATGTTACGCTTGTTGAGTATGACATATACTTACGCTTGTTTATTTTCATTATTTGGGTAAAAATCTTGGATGGGTAACAGATGACTATGGTAATGACGACTTTTCCTGAGGATTGCTAGACTTATGGTCAACTAGTTGACGTCCCTATGATATGGAGCTTCCGCGATAGATTTTTCTTTATATTTCTGCTATATTTATGTGAAGACTATGTCTTATCATTCGTGATGCAATAAACACTTGTGATAATACTATTTATAATTTGTCGGCTTATGTGTGTGACTGATCTCTGGACGCACATAAGATTATGCATCCCATTTTATCATTAAAATCAGGTGTAATAGATTGGTATCAGAGCCGTGTTGAATGTAGGACGCAAGCCTAGTTAGCAATAGTCGTTTTAGCTTCTTTTGCTTCACTCATTTCATGCTTTCCATCTCACCCTTGTTATTTGCTAAAGTTTTATGCTTTTTTTGCCTCACTCTATTATGAAAATTATTGCTTCTAATCTGACTAAATCTAATTCTGTAGATGCCTCATGCTAATAAGACCGCTCGCATCAGCACTGGAGGCTACTACCCGCCTCGTGGCTTGTCCATGGAGTCACATGAGGAGGAGGAACCCTAGGAACAAGAAGTTGATTCGCCAGCACCTGCACCTACGCCGAAGCCATTCCAGGAAGAGCCTAAAGAAGAAGAACCCGAAGAAGTGAAGGTCGTCTTATTATCTGATGATGATGATGATGAGGAGGACGCCGTTCAAGAGGATGAGCTGATCCCTCCCCTGGGAAGGACTACGAAGGTCTAGTACAAGGCGGGGTGTTAATCCTCTATCTTGCACCACCAACTTATGGGGATTCTTCATACCTACTACGGTGATTGGGACGCAGCTGTTGAGTATGTCTGCATCGAGCGTACGCACCCTCTGGAGGACACTTATTGGAAGACCAGGGTGTGCATAT